TATTCCCCTTTCTGCCTGTGCATTTTTTGTGTAATGCAATGTAAGCATTTCATGGGAGTTGGCACGTGTGTGTGAATGTAAGATGGAATTTGCTTTAGAGATTCATAGTTTCATTAGTGAGAATCAAAATTGGCATTGGGTACAAATATTACTATCTGTGCTGATGAACTGCAGGTTCACTGAAATGAATTACAATCAGTTCAGAAACCAAACAGTGAAATATAATTATATATGTTTTTCTTTATTCATTCACAGGATTAGGGCATCACTGACTAGGCCAGCATTTATTGCCCATCCCCAAGTTAAGAGTCAACCACATTGTTGTGGGTCAGGAGTCACATGCAGACCAGACCAGGCAAGGATGGCAGTTTCCTTCCCTAAAAGGCATTAATGAACCAGATGGGTTTTTCCTGACAATCAATTCATGGTCATCATTAGACTCTTAATTCCAGATACTTATTGAATTCAAATTCCACCATGTACGTTACTGGATTTGAATCAAGGTACCCAGAACATTACCTGTGTCTCTGGATTAATAGTCTAGTGATAATACCACTGTGTAAGCTCCCTTCTAGCAGGAGGTGTCACGTTTCAAGTGATCCAAGGAAAATGGATTTTGAGACCTTTATATCCTCAGCTCATAAGCTATCATACAGTGATGATATCATTAGCATGTTTCTTAAATGCATACTGATTGAGAGACATAAGCATTTGTGCAGTGGTGATTGTTATCTGCAAAGCTGTAGCCAAGGGAGGGGGCCTGGAATGACTTTTCAAAAACATTAACTCCTGCTTTGAAAAAAATTCCAAGCAGTTATAGTGATTATAGAGACATGGAGGTATACTGTACAGAAACAGGCACTGTGGCTCAACTTGTCTATGTTGACCAGGTTTACTAAACTGAACTAATCCCATTTGCCTGCATTTGGCCCATATCCCTCTAAATCTTCCATAGCTATGTTCCTGTCCAAATGTATTTTAAATGTTGTAATTGTACCTTCCTCTACCACTTCCTCTGGTAGCTCGTTCCATATAATCATCACGCTGTGCGTGAAAATGTTGCCCGTCAGGTCCCTTTTAAATATTTCCCCTCTTACCTTAAACCAATACCCTCCAGGTTTGAACTCCCCTGCCCTGAGGAAAAGACCTTGGCTATTTACCTTATCTATTCCTCTTGTGATTCTTTTTAAGGTCAGCCCCCAGCCTCCTATGCTACAGGTATAAAAGTCCCACCCTTTCCAGCCTCAATAACATCCTTGTCAATTTTTTCTGCATCCTTTCCAGTTTAATAATATCCTTCTTGGACCTGGAACTGTACACAACACTCCAAATGTAGCATTACCAATCTTTTACAATGCATTTGAAAGAAAGTGTGTCTAAGTATACCTAATGTATGTTACATCAAAAAAAACTTATGCAAATTGAAACATAACAATTAAAGGATTCTGCCAAATACCTCATCTTGTTTGGCTAAAGTGCTTTACTTTTTATTGACACTTTTTTGTTACTTGTTTTACTTCTTGTCCAGGTTGGCAGATCAACTATTGCTCTGGTATTTAAAACTAAACTGTCAACTTGTGCTATGAGCATCACATTTGTTCTGTTCTTTAGTCTAACTTGTCTTAATATTGTGTTACTGTAACAGGTTAATTTTATTCAATCTATTATACATTTAGATCCAAAACTATAATAGTTTCATAATGAACTAAACTTATCATTCACTAAAACAAGATCACTTTGCAGGACTTCATATTTAAATAATTGTTTATTTTTTCCAATGATACACTCATGACTAAAATGGTGGCTGAAAAGGTTTAGAACTGATGGAACAATCAGAATGCAAATACTTCAACTGCACGTGTACAAAACTGCAAGCACAAAGAGGTGGCTTCTTAAAGAGAAAAAGCTGACATCAGTAACAAACAATCACATGCACCATCATTTGTGAATCTACTACCAGAATAACATGTGATATCAATCCCAGTACGGAACACATCATTGCATGTGGAGTCCCCCATTTTCCATTCATTTGGTTCTGCTAATTAGAGAACATATAGTTTAGCACACAAATCTATACTTACACTAACAGTTGTGGAATTGTAATGTCGTAGCAGTACAAATGAAAACAAACACCCTAATTTTTTTGTGAATACCAGAGGAGTTCATTCCTACAGACTGTCCTGTGTGGAAATACATTTAGTAGGAGCTTTCGTGAATCTACAATTTTGTAAATCCACAATCAACCATACATAAACAAAATGCTTTTAGCACCAGAATGTGATTTTTAAAAAAAACAGTCCTGCCTGTTCCCAAGTTCACAAGGATGATTATCAGAGTTAGGTGAGCATTCAAAAGACTTATACTGAGGCATTGTAAAAAGTAGTATTCAAGAAAAGCAAGTGATACAAAAAGTAATGTTCAAGACATTTCCCAGCATTGAGTAACCCATAAGAAAAAACTTTTAACAGTGAATAAATTAAATGTTCTCAAAGCAGCAATGCTAAGGAAACAAAAGATCTAGGGAAATTAAAGCCAATATAAGTTGAATTGAGTTTTCAATGGATCTCAACACAAAAAAACATAAGGGAAAGCAAGAGAGATGGACATCCAGGCATGTTCCCCAGAGACCAGATAATTTTGTCCATTAAATTAGTCACAACTGAACCAAATAATTATGTAAATACTGAGCACAGATGGGTGAAGTAGAAAGAGGACATAACTGGATTGAGAATGGTTTTTTTAAGAAATAATTCTTCCAAAATGTACAGATCCTTTTTTTCCCTCCTCAGGTTTACAGGACTCACAGTTGGAAGTCGGTTGGGGGGGGCGGTTTTCAGTGCCTCGGGAGAGCAATATGTATTCTAAAGGATTGGAACTGATTAAGGAAAATTTGAAATTAAAACAAAAGATGAAACTATTCATTGATTCTCCTAAAGCTGCAATGGTGTGAGAAGTGACACACTCACCTAAAAATTCTATGACCGAATCTATTGCATTTGAGTGAAAAGATTCAGTCGAGTCTTCCATCCATCCATTTGTACCAGTTATAAAGAGCGATGCTTTTCTTTGGAAAGAATTCTTTAAAAAAAACATGAATCCCTCACCTGTGTTTAACTGATAGGAAAATAAAAAGTTCTCACTGTATGTTGAAAGGATACATCCTAGAAGCAAAATCAGAAAACTTGTTCTGTAGAAGGGTCACTCATCCCAAAATGTTAATTCTGATTTCTCTCCACAGATGCTGCCAGATCTGATGAGCTTTTCCAGCAATTTCTGTCTTTCTCCATCAACAGTTCTTTAGGTTTTTAAATCTTAGGAGCTCTAGCAATGCAAAAACTTGACTTGTAGGTCAGATTATGAATTAGAAATCTCATCAAACAACCCCGTTAGAGGTAAAGATAACATTAGAATCATAATCACAGCAAAGGTCCTGGCCTACTTTGGTTGGTTGATAAATAACTTGTATCCCTTGAATTGGCTACATTCCATGGACTAGCCTTCATCTACCAAATGTGCAGAAAGGGATGAAATATGAAACCATCCTTTGGTCAGGATAGCAGGACTAGATCTTCACCATATATGGAACACACACCATTGGGATACCAGTTGTGTTTGATTTATTCATATAGGGTGCTGAGCTGACAAGATAAAGTGCCAAAGGAACAGAGTGCACAATGTTCCTCATTACAATAATATAATAGCACTCAATTACCTTCATTTAATGCACTGTCCAGTCCAGAAAAGCAACTGCAATTTCCTTACATGTATTTATTTGTGCTAAGGTGTAAATAGTGAGAATGGTGTGTGAAAATGAACCATCAATTGTTAGCAGTAGAAGATAATGCAAGAACCCTTGGTAGTCAAATATTCTATCCTCCACTGCTCTACCTCCCAACCCTACTCAAAAACAATTCATTAATTGGGCCAAAACACATCATTGCTGCTTTTGGAAAGGTGCATTCTAGTGTGCTTCAGCTTCTTTAAAGGGTAGATTTTGCGCACATTAACTATTATATGGAGAAACAGAAGGACACTAAAACTAAGGATCACCAATAAATTCAATTTAGGACAAACATCTTTACCCACAGGGCAACTGGATTGTAGAACTCCTTTCTACAATGAGTAGTTGAGATAAATAGTGTAAATGCATTGATGGGCAACCAGATAAATGCATAGTTGAAGATAATAGAACAATATGGTAGGCCTGGATGAGGAATGGTGAAAGATGTTTCATGTGGAGCGTCAACATGGTCATGGATAAGCAGGGCCAAATAACTGGTGTCTGTGCTGTACATTCGATACAGTAGTAAACAGAAGGCAACTTTAGTGATCCCTTGTTTTCAATGTCCCAGATAGCAGTCTTCCTGAAGGACAAAGAGACATCAATTTGGAGAACAACTGAAGGAAATTGACAACTACATTTTTTAGTTCCAGAGCTTACAGGAGTAGACAATGTGAAATGATACAATATGCAAAGATTATTAACATGACAATTTTAACAATTTTTAAAACTTTTTTGCATTACTAGTCATTAATTTCTTTAGCAGAAACTCTGTACAACACTGATGTTTATAATTAATTAATGCAGACCACACAATAGATCATTCCTTAGAACATAACTTCCTTATGGAGGTAAGTTAATGCATCCATCACATCACAGCCAGAGTGAAATGCTATGCATGTTAAGTAATGCTTTACAGGGTGTAAACATTCAGGCAAATTTAATGTCATGCTGATGATCACAGCTCTGATTATCGTTTTGGTCTATTACTGTAGTTAGAATATTCCAGTCACACGTAGCACTTAAGTCTTTTATTCTCAGCTGCACAAATAAAAGTGTTTACCAGGCAATTATAGAAAGTCATAGAGACATACAGCACAGAAACGGGCCCTTTGACCCAATTCATCATGCCGACCAGGTTTCCTAAACTGAACTAGTCCCATTTGCCTGCATTTGGCCCATATCCCTCTAAACCTTTCCTATCCATATACCTGTCCAATGTCTTTTAAATGTTGTAATCATTACCACTTCCTCTGGCAGCTTGTTCCAGCTTTGTCTTTTTCAAGATTTTATATTTGCTTTTTAAAAAACAAAGTTTCAGATTTCATTTCAATACCATAAACATAACAAAACATATTTATGCAATCTGCTATACTTATACTTTAACCCTCAATGAGAAATTACTTTTTCTGCCTTAAAAGTGATTTATTAGCTACAAATATTAGACATAACCAAATACAAATTGCCTGCTAAACAAGTTTCCAATTCCATGATTAGTACATTATTCCTATAAATATGGCAATATCTCAGAAATCTCAAACTGGGTCAATTCCTTTCAGACTAAAATCTGGAGTTCACAGTCAGTCAACCCATTCACTTCCATGATCTTGTCCAATTGCTCCAGATAGCGACTCTGATCTTGCATGAAATAAGGTATTTGGGCATTCTGCAATAAGGCAATAACCTTTAGCCGGTCTACATCTTCATAAGATACCTGAAGGAAAGATAAAGTGGAAACACAGTTTATCTTTTACGCTAGTATTGGTTGCTGGCATTCGGTTTTTTCTTGCATGTGGTCAAGGGGCTGTTTCAAATAAATACTCCAGAATAGCATTCATAGTTATATTGCTAATCAGTGTGGTCAGTCTTTTTTGAATCTAGTTCAACCGATAACTAATACAAAGGAATAAGCAATAACACTGATACAAAATTAGATAGCAGCATATTACAAGGTAATTGGAATGGAATGCCAAATTTCCACAACTCTCAGCCTTGGTGATTTCAACTTGTATCTCAATTCATTACGCTGTCTGTCCTGAAACACCATCCTTTTATGCTCCCATAATCTTCCCTTCATATAAACTATCCAAACCATCTTCACAACTACTCATTTGATCTTGACACATTGTATGGTCTTGCTGTTCCCATCTTAAAAATTAGAGATAAGTCCATCTCTGATCATTTTTTCAGTCTCCATCCATATCCCCCTTCCATGTTCCAAGCCTACTTCATTCTTTGCACGCCACAAAAATACTGCCTAAAATCACTTAATGAATACATTTTCAGAATTCTAACCACTTAGCTTTTGTCCTCCTGGTAACTACATTTTTGTTTTCAATTTGTTCAATCACAAACTCACCTCCATCCTTCATGCTGTTTTCCGTATTGCTCTCACTCAACTTTAACTGATCACTGTGGTACAGTACTTACCTTATCACTTTATTAAATCCAAAAGCTGCGTACTGAAACAAATGTGGCAGACAACTGGACTAGCCATTCAATGCCAGACTGGAATGTGAAAAAAGCCATCAGATTACGTACTTGTCTACCAAATTGTTCATTCTACGAGGGTGATACTGAAATGCAAGATAATTTCTGATTTCTTTTCTCCATAGGAAACAGTTCTAAACTCCTCTCCTCGACTCTTCCATGACCACTTCCAAAAAATAAGGGATTGCATTTAATGTGTATTTGCAGCTCCTGGTGGCAGCCCCAGAAGTGGGTACTGCTTCCATCCGGTACTTAGCAGTCTGCTGAAAGTCATCATGCTGTGGCCAGTCAACTAATGTAAGGTGGAACAGAGCTGGTCTAACTAAAGAGCAGAGCCACAAAAAGCAAGGTGACAATAGGGGCATTAGCAGCCCAACCAAGTTCCAGGCCCCTCTTGCATTTTCATTGCAGCAATGAGCTGAAAGAGATTAGGTGGATTAGCCATGGGAAATGCAGAGTTACAGGGATAGGGTAGGGGAATGGGTGTGGATGGATCCTGTTCAGAGTGTTGGTGTGAACTCGATGGGCTGAATGGCCTGCTTTTACACTAAAGGGATTCTATGATTCTAAAGGAAAATTCATGGGTGGTTCATAGTTTAGCACTGATTATCTGCAGATTCTTGATGAAACTTACTTTTCACCATCAGTAATTGAATCACCACATGGAGACAGAGCCAGTTCCACTGGCCACCTCCTTCACCATCAAGATCAGGAAATGTAGGTCTGGAACCCGTACACAAATCTTGGCCCTTTGCCTATTACGTTCATGTGTCTTCTCCAAACATAAGGAGAAACACTGTCAGTTTTCTCACAAAAACTAGCATAACTAGATCGTGACAGCCCGTAGTCCAGAGTGTTGCCATGAGAATCCCAGGCGGGATTCCCACTCTTAAGCAGAGTCTTGCACAATCAGAGCAACTTCTAGCCCATAAGGAGCTCCACCCCAACCTGAGCTGTCTGCAGTTTGTTGACTAACACTGCATGCTGCACTTCACAATACAGCGTGTTGATAATTGATTATTTTTCTATAACAATGAGCAATACTCATTCTCCTTGTTGATACAAGCAAGACACCTTCAAAAAACAGAATAAATTTTTATTAGCAGTTCCCTGTTTGACTGTTCCTCCACGGCTAGGGTATGCAGAGTGAGGCTGAGCACAATCACTCACCAGGTAGTATGTAAAACATTAACTGTGCATTTTACAAGCCATTTTTTTCCCCGATACTGCAGATAAACCTCCCCTATGGCTGCTGCCTATGAAGCCACCATCAGTACAGGTAGTTCTTCCCAAGTCTCCTTTGTGGTAGAGATTTTCCAGTCTAAGACACTTTCCTCTTGCATTTTTGGGCATTAGAGGCAGCAGTGGCTGTGGAGCTACTGGAAGCTCTGATCCTGGCCTCTGCTCCATCATCCATGCTTTTTGTTGCTTTCAGAATTCTACCCTCTATTAATTTGAAGTAATCCAAAACTCATGTCTGCATCCTAAAATACGCCCAGCCCCCTTCACAATACTAGCTGAGCTACATTCACTCGATTCCAAAATTCTCATTCGTTTTCAAATTCTTCTGTGGCACTGCCCTCCCTACGTCTATAACTCCCTCTTGATCAGAAAAATCTTTCCTTTAAATCTTATGTGTCCTAAACCTCTGGAGGAGGTAGGTAAGAATTTTGCAGAACATTTCCTGGGAGATTGATACAAATGTCAGAATCTGCATATACAAGCCCAAAGTTTAAAAAAAAAAGGAGTGTCAAAGCTGCTTATATTTAACTGTCTTAGAGTGTTGGACCAGACTTGTCTGGAAACACAAACACAATGTTTTATTTTTAAAACATTTTTATTTTTGCCTGGAAACACAGTGAAAGCAGGATTGAGTGGGAAACTTTAAAGAAGAAGTGAATAGGTATCTTAGTAATTCATAGTACTAGTAATTGTTCAGAAAGTTTTTAAGTTGGCATATCTCCAACTGCTGAATATGTAACTTTGAGAAAGATGTGCATTTGTAGCTAGGGTATACTTGCACATTTGGGCTCCGATCAGTCTGGTACGATCAGTATCCAGATCCCAAGACTGCAATACGAACTGGCTAGCAGAATGACCTGAGGACTAGAGTTGATTAGAACCGCTGGTCAAACAGATACAAGGGAAGAATGTTGTGGGAAAGTTTGGAGTACTCTTCTCATTGCAAATTTTTGACAAATATGTAAAAAGTAACATAAGTGTACATACTTGGGCTAAATATTGCAAAGGATACCTGCAAAAGGCGTCTGAAAATACTGATACCGCAAGAGGTAGTATTTGTGTCATGCCAGTTGCTCGAGGGCATTTGGGAGGTATGGAGAGAATACAAAAAACGAGCCATTTGTGTAATGCCATGCTTTAACTTGTCAAAAGTCAAGTTTCATTTTTATTGTTCAATAAACCTTAATACTTGCCATTCTAATTAATGACTGTCCTTCCTATCAATAAGATTTTCCTTAATAAGAATTTTCTTATTCTGGATTTAGCACAGAGTCCAAATCACAACATTTGACTAACCAGGATGAAACTTTGTCCATTCATTTAGTTATTTTGGCACCTTTCCAAGCAAGAATAGCAATTATGCACTATTCTGCATTGTGGTTATATGGGTGGGCACTCAGTCATTTACACAAAGAGCTTTACATGTTGCATGTTCAAGACCTTTCCGATTTGGACATCATGTTCTAAGTTTAGCATTCAACTAAAATGCTAACTGCTAAATTTGATACTTAGGAATTTGGCAGACAACTGGTTTGAATTGTGGAATGGTGCAACTTCTGGCAGTTTTCCATTGCATGCATGTGGACCACACTTGCCGTAAAGAATGAACACAAATACTATAGATGCATGAATATCCAATGTCTGATGAAAATGTAAAGTTGTTGTTTGTATACTCATAACACTAGTCTTTAGTAGTTTAATATCTCTAGTTTTTTTTTAAAAGCAAGATCAGAAAATTAGGCAAGGCAACTTAAGACTAATCATGAGAGGATGGATTTGGAAGCTGTTTATAGTCCTGCTTTATATTCCAGAGCTTGCTGTTGCTTTGTGAATCTGAGTTTAGCAAAGTCTGAGCTAAAGAGATTATAGCTCAATGGACTCCAAGGTAAAAGTCCAGGTCTGTCTCACCAGTTGACATCTTTAATAATTGAGAATTGGCTGAAAGTATTATGAATGGTGGTGTCAAGAACAGAAAAGGTTGTAACAGCAGCAGTAAATTAGTCCATCAATTCAACTGACCTTCCCCAATGCTGTTAAAAGCTGGAAGTCAATGTTATCTCTGTGTCTCAGAATTTTAAGAATGCCATCCAGGTAGACTTGGTCTTTGCTGAAACAGCCTAGATAAGACAAAAGTGAATATTTGTCCTTTGTCATTTTTCATTGATCAAGAATAACTTCTGTTATATTCTCATTATTCTGAGGGTAGGGAGGAAGGAGAATAAGGAAACAGGAGTTGGGAAAAGAGGTACATTTTGTTGAAGATTTAAGGCGAAATCCAACATTTATCCTGTATGGGAGGAATGTGCTGATTGATTGGCAAGGTACTGTCCCTGATTGGCAGACACCCATTTTAGGATGAATAAAAATTTGCTCTAATTAAATATTGGGCAGTAACATGCGCCACACAAATGCCAAGCAATAACCATCAACAACAAGAAGCAATCTAACCGCTGCCCCTTAACATTCAGTGATGTTATCACCATTGAATCCCTCTTTATCAACATACTTGGGGTTACCATTGACCAGGAACTCAACTGTGGGTCAGAGGCTGGGCACATTACAGTGGGTAACTCACATCCTGACTCCTCAAAGCCTGTCCACCATCTACAAGGCACAAGTCAGGAGTGTGATGGAATACTCCCCACTTGCCTGGATGAGTGCAGCTCCAACAACACTCAAGAAGCTTGACACCATTCGGGACAAAGCGCCCTGCAGGACAAAGCAGCCTGCTTGGTTGGTACCACATCCACAAGCATCCACTCCCTCCACCATTGGTGCTCAGTAGCAGCTTTATGTAGTAGCTATAAGATACACTGCAGAAGTTCACCAAAGAGCCTTAGAAGATCCTCCCAAACCCACAACCACTTCCATCTAGAAGGTCAAAGGCAGCAGATATGTGGAAACATTACCACCTGCAAGTTCCCCTCCGAGTCACTCACCATCCTGACTTGAAAAATCTGAAAGTACAGTTTTCCTGAATGCTTTGCAGATACTAACAGTGGGACATCCTTTATACTTTTCTGCAGTTTCCCACCTGACTGACAAGCTGGCTGCCCATCTGATAGGAAAGCCTGCAGCAAATGGATACAGCCAAGGACCAGACAGCAGGTAATGTAGCAGAGAAAAGGAAAGATTATGTGCAAGGGCAGATCCTGGTCAGCCTGATGGGTATGAAAAGAGATTACTTTCAGAGGTCAAGGGGAAAGACTGGAGGGGAAAACATTAATGTAATGGGAGATCATAAGAGAGTCAGAAATCATGAAGCTGGAAGCAGCTACACTTGCTGCATTGGGTACAGGAGGAACATCTCACTCCTTAAGTCCCACATTATCCTGCCCATCATATCTCCAAGAAGGTTTCTAAAAATAAAAATAATTTGAGAATGGAGGTACATAGCCTCATTAAAATCAGTAACTGACCATCCACCTCCTGACAGTGTATAATGAAACATTCCCTGTGCTACTTCCATTAAAATTGGAACTGGGTGGATTTGTTGGGAGTTGGAGTAAAGTTAATCTTAGCCAGGAGAGTGCTCTTCAGCACTGTTGAGTTCTTGCTGAGAATTCAGCTTAGGTTTTTGCCTGGATTTCCTACCCACTGTCAACAACCACATGTACAGTGAAGATGGACTGTGAATCAACTCACAAACTGTATGTGATGGATACTAAGACAGCAGTTGGTGAAACATCACTGCCTTACTATCTGCAGGGAGTTAGAAATCATCTACATAATGCCAGATAATCCTGATACTTTTTTTCCTCCACTCCATTCGAAGGAATGGATCATTTGCTGGGATCCAGTTCCATGTGCACTGTCAACTTCCTGATTATTGTCCTGTTTCAGGGCAAGCAATCAGAAGTGTGGCATTCTATTCAATCTCTGATAACATCAGGGCTGAGTCCAATGCTATCCTCTATAACATTCATAGATGTCTGCCAGAAATCCCAGGGCAGCAGCAGAAGGACACTTGCTAATCCTATTAGACATCACTGTTTCATAGCTGGGACCTGCAAACATCAGCACAGACCAGGATTGAATTTGGGGCTTTCCTGGTTTGCATGGTCCAGCTACCCATTGAAAAAACATCTCTAGGAGATAAGTGTATTATTAAATAATGAAGGCTAAGCACAAGCTAAATAGATGCATAAGGGAGAAAAAGTGATAGAAGAATATGCTGACAGAATTGGAACTGGGCTCAGGTGAAGCATAAACTTCAACATGGGCCAGTTGTGACCTGTTTCTGTGCTGTAATGTATGTGTAATTATTTGCATTCGATGGGGATCACCTTTGAATTCCCTGAAAAGGAAGGCTGCAAACTGGTTAGAGATGATCACAAACATTCAAAGTTGCAGAAACAAAAATCATTAGCTTTTACTCCACGGATATGATTGCTGACCATGTTTCACCAGAATAAGCTTCTCTACCTGGTTGGGATGTGTCAGTTTGACCACGTTTGGCTCGCACACAATAATCCCACCGAGTATTTGGGTTTTCCACAAATTTGCCAATGTCTAGGAAGAGTTCCCGAAAGGACATGTGGCTGGCTTGGTAGACTGTGTAGTAGAGCAGAGCTGCTCTCCAGAGGAAAGGGTCCTTGTGGAACAGCACACTGTGGATACTAGCCAGTCCCTCTTCAGTTGGGTTAATTGGTTTAAGACCATATTTTTTACGACCATTCCAGTTACACCAGGGCTGTAGATTGTTGTTTAAGCCTCGAAGATAATGTGTCCCTGTACAAGGAACTCAATGTTAATTTCATAAGACTTGCTATAAAAGGAACATACTCGATATTTTAACCAATCCTTAGACCCAAATAAGACTGCTGACACAATACAGTTTTTGCTTTCCCTCAAATGTTATTGCAGATAGATTTTTTTTCTGATTAAATTAAACCAGTGTGTTTTTTTTTCTTATCATTGGATTACGATTATTTATGCTGTTACGTGGAGATTACGTAGAAGAGGTCTCCATTTATTGCTGCCAGCAAGAGCAGACCTTTGGTGGTGGTGCCTGTAGTTAAACACTTTGCCCCCAAAATCATTCACTAATATTACATGTTCAGCCTGGCTCAATTATTAAAAGTAATTTTGAAGTGCTACATACGTATCTATAGCAAACCTTTCAATGAAATATTACCCTCAAGATACATCTTGTGCACTACTATATTCAAAGGTTTATTATTGAAATATTTGAAATGACTATGGAAAAGCTCCTGAAAATAAATTGATGTAGTGTTCTTTATGGAAATTATCATTTCCCCACTCAGTTTCTATCATCTAATTAGAAAATGATTGAGTTTAACAGTGTTCAAACCATATTCTCAGACTAACAGTAGAAGCATATTGATTTTAAAGTCAACAATGCAGGAAAAACTGTTTCAAAGTTTAATACTTAAACCAGTCTTTTAAAGAGCATTTCAGCACAAAAAAAAACTACTTGGTTTGCCTGCATTGCTTTATCAAGATATCAGCAGCCTGCAGTCCATTGAATTAGTAAAAGTGAATGCTCCATAGATATTATGTCTACCAAAGTATTCTTACATTAACACGAGACAGATACCACATTGTACCTGTCAGCACGAAGGGGACAAGACTAATGACATTGTCGACTGCTTTCAAATGAAATGGGGATATCACCCAAGGAGGAAAGGTTGCCCAATGCATGGATACATCATCATCCATTGGAAGACAGAAAAGTAGAATGGAATCAAAATGATGAAAAATCAGTGTCTAGGTTAGAGAAACTTTAAATCCTCTTCCTATGAAATCAATTAGAAAGCTGATGATGATGATGTATGTTCAGGTCTGATGAGAGGTGCAGTAATCCTGCTGACCAGCCCAGGGTGTCATGATTCTGAAAAGCAATGAACAGAGATTACAACTACCACGAGTAATAATCTTCACAAAATGTGAATAGCAGGCTGCAGGTTCACCTAAGGTGGCAAATACCTTTATGTCAGCCCTGTCTTCTAGATACATGTCTACAGATTACACTGGTGGATCTAAGAGGGGAATATATTTCAAGATTTTGTTTAGTATTGAAAACTTAGTGCACTAACTTCCAATTTGCTAAATGGCCATAAATGTTAAAGTTGGAATAAGTGCTCTGGTTATCATCTCAAGGCAGCATCAACTCCCCTATTTTGAGTCTCAGTTCTGAAACATCAATGAAGATTCTCACACCTATCTCATGTCTCAGCATCCCCTCCAGCCAGTGCTCTCGAGCAGTGGAAACATTGATGGTCAGAGTCGGACGTCCATTCACTATTGTCATAGAAGCACGAGAAAGCAGATCATCTGTTAAATGGACTGCAATCTGTACAGTTTAAAAAAAATTGTACTTAGAAGGTATACGGAACATCAACAACTTGCAATAACTAAGCAAAAATGTGCAGAAATCCTTCGATAAAATCTAATGAAACAGAACTATGAAAAGTACCCTTGAACTCATAGACTTCATTTACTTAGCATTAATTCTTGAGTTTCATAGAAGCATTTGCAAAGGAAACTGGTACGATAGATTTCTTCTTGTGAGGAAATGATTCAAACGCAGGTAAGAGTGCCCAGGTTCAACACCTGACACGAGAGAGCTAACTTTGGCAACTGGTACATTAATTGATGTCAGATCCCATGAGCAGCGAGACAAAAGGAAAAATCAGGCAGTGTCCCTGGAACTGGAACTGATATCTTTTCAGGGACATGCACTAGTACTGTGGGGGAAGTGGGGGTTAAATTAGAGTGGCAGAGGTCAGGAATCTGAATGGGAAGACAAGAATGACGGAAACAAAGATGGAAATGAAAGATAGAATGGTAGAAAACAAAACTGGAAGACAGAAAACAAGAGCTAGCAGCAAATAGGTCTGGAATATAAACACAAGCATAAAAATGTCAGAAGGTCTAAAAGTGCTACATCAAAATGCACAGATCATTCACAATAAGGTAGAAGAATTAACAGCACACAAAGTTGTAAATCAGTACAATATGATTGTGAATGCAAAGTCATGACAGTAGGGTGATCAAGGCTGGGAGCCGAACACCCAAGAGTATTCAATCTTTAGGAAGGACAGGCTAAAAAAGAAAAGGAGGTGGGGTTGCATTGTTAGTGAAAGGTAAATTCAGTGCCGTCATGAGAAAGAACATTGGTGCAGAAAATCTAAATGTAAAATTAGTCTAGTTAGAACTAACCACAAGGGGTGGAATGCATTGATGGGAGCAGTCTGTGGGTTTCCAAACAGCACCAGTAAGGTAGGGAACAGTGTTAAACAGGAAATCAGAGATGCACACAATGGTGCAACTGTAAACATTGGTGACTTTAATTTACAAAGAGACAGGGCAAGCCATTTTAGCAATGATACTGTGGCAGATGAATTCCTAGATTGTTTGAAAGATTATTTTAGACCAGTATGTTGGGGACCAATTGTGGAACAGGCTATCTTAGATTTGGTTTTGAGAAATAAGGAGGAGTTAATTAACTATCTTTTCTGAGAAGTCCTTTGGGAATAAAGTGACCGGTACATGATAAAATTCTTCATTGGGATAGAAAATGAAGTAGTCCAGTATAAAGTGAGGATCCTAAACCTAAACAAAGGAACCAATTAAAGGTATGAAGGGATGAATTTACTGGCAGTGGATAGACAATAATTAATATTGGGAACATTTTAATATATATATATTTGGGTGAAAGAACACAAGAGGAAAAGCAGTCCTACCACGGCTAATAAAATGAGTAAGAATAGTATTAGAACCAAAGGGGAATCATACAAAGTTACTAGAAAATGCCACAACCATGAGAACTGAGAGCAGTTTAAAAATTCAACAGAGGTGGGTTGCTGAAGAGGGGAAAAGTAGAGCATAACAGTAAAGTTAAAGAAGGCTATAAGAGCTTCTGTAGCTATGTAAAAAGAAAAAGGATTAGTGAAGACAAATGCAGACCCCTTACAATCTGAAACAGGATAATTGATAATGGAGAACAAGGAAATGGCAGAACAATTAAACAATTACTTTAGTTGTCTTCACAGAAATGCAAGGGAAGCAAGGGTCAATTGGTCACAAGGAATTGAAGGAGATTAGATTAATTTCAGTATAAAAAAAGTGTTGGGAGAAATTAATAGGACTGGAAGTTGATAAATCCCCAGGGTTTAATAAATTGTTATTCCAGGGTGCAAAAGGAGGTTGTCATTGAAATAGCAGATGTGTTGGTGGTCACCTTCCGAAGTTATATAATTTCTGGAACCATCCTTGCAGATTGGTAGATGGCAAACGTAACACCATTTTTTAAAAACAGAGGGAAGGAGAAAACTGGGAATTATAGATCGGTTAGCCTAAAGTCAATAGTCCAAATGCTGGACACTAATTCAAAGGATCTAATAACAGAACACTTAGAAAATACTAATGGGATTGCACAAAATCAACATGGATTTATGAAATGGAAATAGTGTTTGCCAAACCTACTGGAGTTTTTTTGAGGATGTAATTAGTAGAATAAATAAGGATAATCAGTGATAACAAGGTGTAGAGCTGGATGAACACAGCAGGCCAAGCAGCATCAGAGGAGCAAGAAAGTTGGCGTTTCGGGTCTAGACCCTTCTTCTAGACCCTTATTTCTGAAGAAGGATCTAGATCCGAAACATCAGCTTTCCTGCTCGGCCTGCTGTGTTCATCCAGCTCTACACCTTGTTATCTCAGATTCTGCAGCATCTGCAGTTCCTACTAACAAGGATAATTAGTGGATGTGATATATTTGGATTTTCAGAAAGTTTTTGACAAAGTCATAAGTAAGACATTAGTGTGCAAAATCAAAACACATAGCTAATACCATGGGGTCCTCTCTGCCTGGGATTGAGCAGTCCATGGAGTGCTGGCAACCTGGGACATTTCTTCCTTGCCCAGCTGTGTAGACATGCCAGTGAAATGCTCACCAACTATATTCCTGACTCTAATCTAGCCAGAGTACCTATTGGGGTGTCAGTATCTGAATTGTTTGACATTATAGCCAATGCTTCCTCAGAGGTCTGTGACTTCTTGCTGAGAGGTGGAGGACAAAATAATAACCTGACGGACTGGTCTCTTCATACTGGAGACTGTCAATGCCACCATGCCTGAATGAGACAAGAGAGGCAGTGAGTTGCGAAATAGGGGTGAAGGTTAGGCATGTTAAAAATGCATTTACAGTAATTTTAATGGGAGAGCAGTGTATCACATTACAATCAACCTTACTCATTTGGAGCAACATGGAGGTTTTAGCATTCCTGCATGTGTGGTCGTGGTCTTCTCCCACTAAGGCATGGGGAATAAATGTACATGGGCATCTCATCACCAGTCTTGGTCCTCTCTGACTTATTATGGACCATTCTGTCCTGGAGTGAGATAAAAACAGGGATTGAGTGAGACTGGAGTGGCTGGCACAGTTGTTAATGTTGGTGCAGGAAAGGTGTCCCAAGTGTGTGAGCAGGAGGTGCAGAGGCATGCAAGGTTAGTAGTTTGGAGGAATGGGGTAGGTAAGAGCATTTGAGAGAAGATGTTGCATGAAATAGTGAGCATGATGGGAGATATTGCAGGAACAGAATTAGAGTGGGTGTGAGGTCACAGAAGACAGTCGTGGAGAAGATCGCTTTTGTGAAGTGCAGAAGGTCACTGAGCTGCTTGCAGCATTGCTGTACATTCCATGTGGCCATGGATATCATATTGACATGCATGGCAATGGCAAAGATTGTTGCTGTGGTAACCTCAGGCAGTTCTGACAAAAGAAGACAATCCTCTTGTGAAATAACCCATCTACCAGGACATCCAGATCCCTGTCAGCAAAGCAAGGTGCTACTGGCCATCTCTGGGGAAATTCTTCACATATTGCAACTAGGAAAGGCTCCTCCTGGAAGCCAGTGTTTGAACTGGTGCACAACTGGAATTTAAATAAGGTGCCACTGGCGGGAAACACAAAGGTCCAGCAACAGTGAGTACTTTGGCCGCTGGTGAATGCGGGGTAGAGGAAAACAGTCCCTTGGAGGTGTGGTGCATACATAACGGGTGGGCAACATAAAATTGCACTAGAAAATTCACTAGAGCTCAAGGAGAGACACCCTCCATGAACTTGTGCAAAATTAATGCTTAGCCAAACTTTGAGAAAATGTCAACCCAAAGTCAAGGAATGAACAGGTTGTTTTTTCCCTTAGTATAAGCAATGGCAAGTGGGATACCACATGGATCAGTGCTTGGACCTTAGCTACTCACAATATGTTTATATCAATGATTTGGATGAGGGAATCAAATGTAATTTTCCAGGTATGCTGACCACACAAAACTGGATAGGACAGAGTGGTGGGGAGGATTTAAAGAGCCTTGAAAGCAATTTTGACAAGTTGAATGAGTAGGCAAATGCACAGCAGAAACAGTATAAAATGTAGATAAGAATGAAGTTGCCCACTTTAATGACTGCATATTATTTAAATACTGACAGACTGGGAAGTGTTGATGTACAAAAGGATCTGGGTATCCTTGTACACTTCCTCAGAAGGCTAAGGAAATTTGTTATGTTCATAATGGCACTTACCAATTTGTATAGATGCACCATAGAAAGCATCTTAGCCACATGCATCATAGCTTAGTAATAGCAACTGCTCTGCCCAAGAATGCAAGAAATTACAGAGCGTTGTGAATGCAGCCCAGTCCATCATGAAAACCAGCCCTCCTTCCATTAACTCAGTCAACAGTCCGCACTGCCTTGACAAAGCAGCCAACATAATCAAAGACCCTCTAAATCTGGTTATACTCTCTTCCACCCACTTCTATCAGGTAGAAGATACAAAAGTTTCAAAATATATAACAACAGCTTTCTTTCCCACTGTTATCACACTTATAAATGGACCCTTGATACATTAGAGTTGATCTTTTTCTGCACCTTCTCTGTAGCTCTAAAACTATATTCTGCATTCTGTTCTAACATCTTGTTTACTTATGAAAGTATGATTTGTCTGTTTAACACTCAAAACAATACTTTTTACTTTATCTTGGTACACGTGACAATGATAAAACAAATCAAAAATGGAGGTGCAGGAAGCAGTTAGGAAGGCAAATGGCATGTCGGTGTTCATTGCAAGAGCGCTTGGGTACAGGAGTAAGGAAGTCTTATTACAGCCAAGCAGAGCCTTGGTGAGACCACATCTGGAGTATGGTGTGCAGTTTTCCATAGAAAGAGTGCATCAAAGGTTCACCAGACTGATTCCTAGGATAGAAGGTTTGTTGTACGAGAACAGGTTAGGAGTTTAGAAGAAGTGAGAGGGGTCTCATTGAAACATACAAACTTCTTATAGGGCCAGATGTTGTTTCCCCTGGCTGCAAAATCCAAAACAACAGGTCACAATTTCGGGATACACTTAGGCCATTTTGGACTGGGAGGAGAAATTTATTCATTCAGATTGTGGTGAACATGTGGAATTTTCTACCACAAAAGGAACTGGAGGCCAGGATGCTGAAAATATTTAAGAAATAAAAAAATTCTAGAGGCTAGGGGTGTCAAGGAGTATGAGAGCGCAAGCAGAAATATGGCATTGAGACAGAGGATTAGCCATGGTCAAAATGAATGATAATGAATGGCCTGCTCCTGCATCTATTTTCTATATTTATAATAGAGTCCTGTGTCAATACCATTGCCATTCAGATACAATGCCCATTGCTGCTTACTTAATCCATTCTTCTACAACCCTATTTTCAGTTTACAGTCTTTAGTCTATACAAACAAAAACAGACAAATTAGCACTGCATAATTATATCTAAAAATATCAGCCCTTGATCTTGTTGCTTACATCACCAAGGCAGTCTTCCCTTTCCATATATTTCTTCACATAAAACCAGATGCGGCTCTTGGTGAGCAGGTTTCCCCCTGTTGCTTGTTCAAACTTCTCATAGCTGCCATATTTCTTCAGCGCCATTTTCATTATTTTTATCGCCTATTGAAGAAAGAAGATTCTTTGACATAGATTTGTTAAAATGGTGCAGAATATTCAAGAAAATGGTTTTCTCCTACTTCTGAGACAAAATGTCAAAAGTCTCACAGTTACTTGCTAAATGAAACATGAACAGCTATAAAGAAAGCATTTCACTGAGTTTCAGTCTTTTAAACTCAATAATTACTCATGTTATGCCCAAACTAGGCAATAACAAAGTAGACTGAAGGCTGCAAAAACAAAGCTGATACATCTACTTGTTTTCATCAAGGTCCTACAAACAGGAATGAGATAAATAACCAGTTGGCAACCCAAGGTTGCGAAATATAAAGAGAGCAAAATTTATGAAAGCTCCTCTGTTATAAAGAGATTTCATATTTTTCATATTTTATACACTTTAAGTCACCAAATAATAATTGCTAAGGGGCCCTAATGGATTGCTTGCGGCCAAAACAGGATACTTATAATGTAAAAACCATATCTTATTTTTCCATCTTTTTGATTGTGGGTTGAAATAAGAAAAGCACTGTTTCAAAAACCAAGGATCGTGAAAGGAAACGTTGTGTTTTTAAAGCAGGCTACCAACACTCATTTTAAGCGCTTTTTACACTGCTGCTTGCTAAAGCAGTGGGATGAGGTTACTTCGGGGGGATTGGCGCCAGGTGGTGTGCACAAAAGGAGATTTGTCTGGCAACAAGTAGCTGATTGTCACTATTCCACAGACCAATCTTTTGATGACAAAGGCTTTCTGCTTGCCAACAACCACGTGACTTGCTCTTAAGTAAGTGAACAGGCGTGAATAAAGTGAGCAGAAGCTTTCGGACCTGTGGTAAGGGAGGTGGTATCATTTGTTCTGCAGTGTAAAATACCTAAAGCCTGAAGAAAACCCATTTATTTTCCCTCACCAGTTGCTGTAAGCTGTTGCTTTTAACCAATAAGTCAGAGACTTCACAACTTGTGGACCAGTTAGTCTGTGCCTCCTGCAAGCACATGGAAGTACCTAAAGACAGATTAAGGTGCAGCAAGTCTTGGCAAGACAAAAACATCTCAGTGAATATTTCAGACAGAGACTATTAAACTGTCTTATTAGCTTTACCCTCCAACCATAACATCAATGATTTTTGTATTTCTGTCTGTAGATTATGTAGGGGAATTTACAAGCGGTTTAGAGTTATGTGTCACAGTGCGTAGTTGTTTACCTGTGACTGGACTCTATTTATTTGTAATTAATGGTATTTCTGAAGCCTGATTTCGATTAACCTGGGTCTAAAAAGACAAGTAAATTGGGGAATTCAGTGTACTGTGATAAAATCTTTGATTTTTTTGATGACTCAAGGGATACTGGGGCTTGATTTCTAGTGGAGTAATGATGACGACGACGCTCTGGATTAGTCAGCCACCTCTGAAAAATATTTGAATCTTAAGCAAAAATAACTTGAAAACCCTTGATGGAAGAGAAAGAATTAAGTCAAGAATGAGATTTTGAAAGTGAATACCTATTTATGCAACTTACATACATTTAGCCTAATTGTTTACTCTACATATTAATTTTTCATTGTACATTAGACTCCAATTAGGCATTCATGGTGAAAATTGTATCTTAAATAAAAATGCCATTACTAAACATTTCTATCTCAACCAGCACCATCAAAAACAGAGTCATTGTTAAAGACAGGAATTAGTAAAGTGAGTGTTCCACCCAAAGCCATTCAAATTCATACAGGTGGAGTGAGACTTTGGTCTTGGTTCAACGCCAAGAACAAGAGGAACGTTTTGAATTACAATTTGAGAGAGCAGGGAGTCAGCAATGTTCCTTCTTTTCTCATTGTGCATGAACTGTTCATTTCAATTTGTGGTGCTTTTTAAAAAAAAAAGTAAATGGGACAGCTTGTGACCACGCTCCACATCTGTGCGCACTTTACAGGGCACATGGAAGGGCAATGATCCAGAGTTGGTCTTTCCTATCAAACCAACCATGAAAGAACATAAGAACTAGGAGAAGGAGTAGGCCATCTGGCCCCTTGAGCCTGCCCCGCCATTCAATAAGATCATGGCTGATCTTTCGGAGACTCAGCTCCACTTACCCGCCCACTCACCATAACCCTTAATTCATTTACTGTTCAAAAATTTATCTAGCCTTGCCTTAAAAACATTCAGTGAGGTAGCTTCAACCGCCTCACTGGGCAGGGAATTCCACAGATTCACAACCCTTTGGGTGAAGAAGTTCATCCTGACCTCAGTCCTACATCTGCTTCCCTTTATTTTGAGGCGATGCCCTCTAGTCCTAGTTTCACCTGCTAGCGGAAACAACCTCCCTGCCTCCACCTTATCTATTCCCTTCATAATCTTATATGTTTCTCTAAGATCTCCCCTCATTCTTCTGTGTAAAAAGGGAAAGGGGTTGGCCTATTCGGTATCCTCCAATGTCACTTTGAAAAGCTATGTACGTTCAAATATCAGACAATTTCATGGCTTTTAGGTAAGTTGCTGGAATTTTATTTCGCAGGATCTGAATGACATTATCCTTCTCTCAGCACCACACTAGAGGAATCATTTGCATTGATACAGCAACTTCAATGTAAAAGGATCACTCCAAACTTCTTCAGAAAAACAGATGCAAAGAACTTAAGAAACAAGCCAAGAAGGGCAGTGTTAAGTGAGATGACCAAAAGCCTGGACAGAAATGGATCTTGAAGAGTTTTTTTTTAAAAATGTGGAGAGAAGGAAGAGACAAGGGAAATTTGGAGAGAGAGCTCCAGAAACCAGAAGTTCTGCTCACGGTGGGCAAGGTAGTGATCAGGAGACTACATTTGGAGGAATAGAGACATTTAATGATTTAGGTACAAAATCGACTTCAGAGAAAAGGTGCACAAAACAAGAAATATTTATAGACTTCAAAAGATTTTACTGTTTATTCCTAGGGAAACAGTAAGTCACTCCAGCTCAATTAAGAGGAGGTGATTTGTGAGCAGAACAAGATGTTAAAGCAGAGCAATCCTTTCCAATCGGAGTCTCTGGATTCCATGATGGTGTCTATTTCACAATGCGGTGACTCCTAAGTAAACAGGGATGTTTATTATAGATTGGGGTCAAATGTGAGAAATATTAAAATTCAAGAAACATTTATATCTAACAAAGTGAGGAAGTGATAGTAATGTTGTTAAATCACTGCTAGCAACATAGTAGCAGTCATTAGTTCAAATCCCAAAATTCCAAATTATACAACTGAATTCTGGCATTTTGTACTCTGGCACCAGGGAAATCAAATTATCACGAAAAATTGTATAACCATAGTGCCCTTTAATGGAAGGAAGCCTACCAGACACATTTGGTTTGGACTACACAGGATTCCTGTGACCTACCAAAAGAGGTGGTGTAGTGGCCAGAGAACAAGATTATTTCAGAGTACAACAGGACCTTGATCAGATGGACTAATAGGTGGCAGATGGAGTTTAATTTAGATAATTGTGAGGCATTTTGGTAAGGCAAACCAGGGCAGGACTTACACAGTTAATGGGCCCAGGAGACTATTACCAGACAAAGAGATCTAGGGGTGCAGGTGCATAGTTCCTTGAAAGTAGAGTCGAAGGTAGACAGGGTAGTGAAGAAAGCATTTGGCACACTTGCCTTCATTGGTCATAACACTGAGTATAGGAGTTGGGACACCATGTTGTAGCTGTGAAGGACATCAGTGAGGCCACTTTTAGAATACCGCATACAACTTTTATGACCCTTCTTTAGGAAGGATGTTGGTAAACTTGAGAGGGTACAGAAAAGATTTACAAGGATGTTACCAGGACTGGAGGGTTTGAGCTATAGGGAGAGACTGGGGCTATTTTCCCCGGAGCATTGGACGCTGAGGGGTGATCTTATAGAGGTTTATAAAATCATGAGGTGCATTGATAGGGTGAATAGCCAACATTCTTATCCTAGGAAGGGGGAATCCAGTACATGAGGGCACGGGTTTAAAGTAAGGGGGAAAAGATTTAAATAGAACCTGAGGGGCAATTTTTCCTCACAGAGGGTAGTGCATGTATGGAACGAGCTGCCAGAGGAATTGGTGGAGGCAGGTACAATTACAGCATTTGAAAGGCTTCTGGATGGGTACATGAATAGGAAGGGTTTAGTCGGATTATGGGTCAAATGCTGGCCAATGGAACTAGGTCAGATTGAGAACGCCTGGTTGGCACAGATGAGTTAGACCGAGGGGTCTGTTTCCGTGCTGTATGACTCTATGACCGTATTTGAACCTTAAAATATTCAGTTGTGCAAGTTACATTACATTTTAATTAAGTAATTAGTAAATCCTGCTGGCTCTCTCCATATCTAAGAACAATAGTTAAGAGTCACATTTGGCATTTCGCTCAAGAGGGGGAAGTTCTGAGAATTAGAATTTAGATGGGAGCTTTTCCAACCATACTGAGGCATAACTGAATATTATTTATCACAACAGCCCCATCTAGTGATGATTAGATGAGCAGGAATACAGTCACTTTGAACTTGATCACATCTAATTACAGGTTTCAGTACATTTGCTACAATGGAAAATATGAATTGCTAGATAGCAAAAAAGCTTAACCTCTATTGCAATGTGCCGTCCAGGTAGTCAGTGTACAACAATGATGAACAATATTTATTTATCATAGCAATTAATCAGTCTCTATCATGTAGATCACAGCAAGACACAAGGAAAATCACATCCAGCTTTGGCAACAATAGGTCTAGTCACCTGTTCCAGTTTAAGAAATTACTGTATTTAATGTTGTATTATAATAAGTTGTTTTCTGAATCTAATTTGCATTTAAAGAGGAAACGGTTCCTGAGACCGCCGAAGAAAAATTAACAAATAACTAAATCTTTTTTTTAAACTTACATGTGATATGAGCTTTGTTTGTTGTCCAGTCTTAATTGCCCTTGAACTGAGTGACTTGCAAAGACCATTTCAGAGGATAGTTAAGAATCAACCATTTTTCTGTGAATTTGGATTCACACATAGGCCAGACTAGGTAAGGTCAATAGATTTTCTTCCCTAAAGGACTTAAGTGAACCATGTAGTTGTTTTTTTTTTTGACAATTGACAATTGTTTAATGGTCACTGTTAGACTCGCCTTTTCTTTAAAACCCAGATTTTGGTGAAATTTTAATTCAATATCTGTCATGGTGGGCTTTAAACCCATGTCCCCAGAGCATTGGACTAGTCCTCTGGAGTACCATAGTGATATTTCCATTTTGCAACCACTCCTCCATTCAAGCCTTCTATGTTTGGTGCAGCATCAAACGGCACTTTTCTTGCCGATATGTATGAAGATATTCCTATAAAAACAACTGTGCAATGAGATAACACCTCATGGAATGCTTGTTTTGTGACAAGTCTGGTGCAGAATCAGAGAGAGAGAGAATTTGGTTAACATAAGTTTCATTGCAATGTCATTAACATGTATTCATTCTCTGGTTTCATTTCCATATGATTTCACTTGCTTGTTCTCTTCACTACTCCCTCTTCTTAAGATGTTCCTTAAAAGCTATATCTGTCATGGGATGGATACAGTACCAAGAGTACATCACCCTGCGTGTGTGTTGGCTCCTTGCAAGGGCAGTTCAGATAGTTCCATAGCCTGCTTTTTCACTGTAGCCATGCAAATGTTCCCTCTTCAGGCATTTGTCAATACCATGTCCCCAGGTTAAAATTAAAAATCAAAGTTCCCTTTAAACCAGGAATTCTTAAGAAAGGAGACCAGAATTGTACACAGTATTTGAGGTCTGATCTAAACTATGTACCAAGTCTTCCATAATTTATACCATAATAAAAAGGACAACATCCATTTGCCATCCTAATTATTTACTGTAGCTGCATGCTAACTTTGTAATTCAAGTGCAAGATACCAAGATCCCACTTTACTGCACCATTCTCTTACAGTTTAAATATTCTGCTTTTCTATTTTCCCCATTAAAGGGAACATCCTTACATTATACATTCCTACGCTATACAGCATCTATTAAATTTTTGGCCACTCAGAGTTATACGGTATGGAAACAGACCCTTCGGACCAACTCATCTATGCCAACCAGGTTTGGGAAACTAAACTAGTCCCATTTTCTGAGGTTTAGCCCATATCCTTCTAAACTTTTTTTATTCATGTACCTGTCTAAAATGTCTTTTAAAATGTTGTAACTGTACCTGCATCTAACACTTCCTCTAGTAGTTCATTCCATACATGCACCACCCTACACTGGGAAAAAGACCTTGGCTATTCACCCTATCCATGATTTTATAAAAGTCTACAAGGTCACGCCTTAGCCTCTGAAGCTCCAGGGAAGATAGCCTCAGCCTACTCAGCCTCTCCCAGTAGCTGAAACCCTCCAATCCCAGCAACATCCTTGTTAAATCTTTTCTGAACTTAAATCTTTTCAAGTTTAACAACATCCTTCCTATAGCAGGGAGACCAGAATTGAACACAGTATTCCAAAAGTGGCCTAACCAATGTCCTGTACAGCCACCGCATGACATCCCAACTCATATACTCAATGTACTGACCAATAAAGGCAAGCATACCAAAAACCTTCTTCACCACCCTTTCTACCTGCAACTCTACTTACAAGGAAATGTGAACCTGCACCCCAAGGTCTCTTTGTTTGGCAACACACTCCAAGACCCTACCATTAAGTGTATAAGTCCTGCCCTGATTTGCCTTAGCAAAATGCAGCAACTCACATTAATCTAAATTAAACTCCATCTGCCACTCCTCAGCCCATTGGCCCATCTAATCAAGGTCCCATTGTAATCTGAGATAATTTTCTTCATTGTTCACCATACCACCTATTTTAGTATCATCTACAAACTTACTAACTGTATCTCCTATATTCGCATCCAAATCATTCATATAAATTACAACAGGCAGTGAATCCAGCACCAATCCTTGCAGCACTCCACTAGTCATAGGCCTCCAGTCAGAAAAACAACTTTCCACCACCACCCTCTGTCTCTTACCTTCAAGCAATTTTGTATCCAAATGGCTAGCTCTCCCTGGATTCCATGTGATCTAACCTTGCTAACCAGTCTACAATGTGGAACCTTGTCGAATGCCTTGCTGAGGTCCACGTAGACAATGCCCACCATAAAAAATGCACAGTTTTTCTATCATTGTCCCATGTTTAACGAATGAACTTTACGCATGTCCAGCTATTTTGAGTGGGCATCCACAATGACCAAAAATATTGAGCCTATGAAAGGACCTGCATAGTCGACATGTAATTGAATACAGGGTTCACCCAGCCATTCCCACGAATGTGGGGGGAGGTGCGGATGATCATTTTTGTCCTTATTGGCATTCTGGGCACTGCCCCTAAATGCGGCTATGTCTGTATCCAATCCTGGCCACCGGACATAACATGTCGCCAACATCTTCATTTTGGAAACCTTGGATGACCCTGGAGGAGGTCAGCCAGTATGTGGCAGCGACCTCTGCTCAGGACAATCACTCTTATTCCCCATAATAATATGCCACCCTCTACGGTGATCTGGCTCTCTGGTTTCAATTCTGGTTGTGATGGTCTTTCGATTTCTCCTATCACCACCAGCTGTTTCAGTTTTGCCAGGATCAGATCTTTCTGCATTCAAAGTCTGATATTGTCAGCTGGAAGTGTGTCGAGAAAACTTAACACCATTACGGACTCTTCCACCGATGGTGTATCTGCTAGTGGGAGGTGGCTCAATGCATTTGCTACTTGGCCTCCTGACTGATGTTCCAACTTGTAATTATACTCACTTGGAATTAGAGCCCACTGCTGAATTGGGCCAGATTAATATGGGCAGCAGAGCCTTGTTCTCTTTGACTAGCCCTAGCAGGGGTTTGTGGTCCATTATTATCATAAATTTATGTCCATAAAGGTATTGGTGGAACTTCCGGACTCCAAATATGACTGCCAAACTTTCCTTCTCTATCTGGGCGTATTTATGTTCTGCATTAGCCAAAGTCCTGGATGCATATGCCAAGGGGTGTTCCTCTCCATTGGGCCACTTATGAGCTACATTTTCCAGGTTGCATCAGGTCCAGGGGACTCATCAATCTTTTGTCTCATTAGTTTTCTAGTACTTTTTCCTTCTAGTAATCATAATTGTTTTAAATTCATCTCTCCCTGTTGCCCCTCCTGTTTTTTTTTTAAAACTGTTATTGAGAAGCTTTCGTGCCTTCTACTCTGAAGACAGAAACAATTTTTCACTTTCATATTTGAGGAGTCCAGGTTCCACTCCAGAGATTTGAGCATATCATCTAAGCTGACACTCCAGCGTAGTACTGAAGGTATGCCATACCACTGGAAGTGCAGTTATTCTAATGAAATGCTGAACTGAACTTCTGGATGTGTACAGATTAGCTGCCATGCTCATTTCATTACAACAGTGATCAAATTTCATAAGTACAATTGCTTGTAAAGCCCTTTTAGGACCAATATAAAAAAGTACAATAAAAATAAGCACATTATACTTCAAAAGAGGAAATCTCTTCCTTGCACGAGATAGAATTTCATGAAATATTGTTCCTAGTTTTTAACCATTGCTACCAAATGCTCTGACTCATTGTAGCAGTCCAAAAACTTACAGGGACTTGCAATCATTGATCAGGACACACTGAAGAGCAAAATGTCCTTGATGCTAAAACTCTGTAAAAATCAGATTTAATAGGGGCAAAAGCAAAAGATATTTCTGTTCAAATACAGCTTTATCACCAGATGAATTCAGCATGACTCTACCTGTAGAAGAAATTTATCTGAAGCGATACTGTGTTTTGCTAACACATTGGGCAAAGCAGGATTAGCATATTCAAACTGTGGATTGTAGGTGAACTCAGACTTGAAGAACTTGACCTTCTCCTTTTCCACATTTGATGGTTTAACAGCAGTCAGGATACAGAGTCTACGCGTGTTGCTTTCACTGTCTCTCCCTTGTCCAACTGGCAAACTGGACCTCTGCAGGCTTGAAAAGTAAAGCCTTTTTATCTTATTCTTTGGTCTTTGGGACAGACCGATTCCACTTCCTACCACTGATATGCCAAGTGGAAATTTTGAATTGCTCGCAACCAAGTTACCCATGAGTAATGCAGTATGTCCGCTTCCAAGACACCACTCCTTGTCAACCATTGGCACAGAGGAGTTGGGGGTCCGGCGTTCCTTGTACCGCAACACAGCTGAGGGCTTCGCAGATTTTCGGTGCTTTTTGTGATGGCTGGAGGATAACCGTTTCTTCTCTCCCTTTGATGGCAGTAAGACATTGTAACCATTGCTTCCTGTAAATATTTCCTTTAAAATGCTAACAGAGACTTGCTGGAGATCTGCTTGGCTTGTGTCATTTTTTTCAGAGGGATTCAATAGAACCGATTTTTTGGCTAGCTCCAATTCTGGCCAATGAAGTTTTTCTGCAGAAATGGAAAACAGAAAGGGTCAATGTAACTGCATGAATTGGCCCGCATTTGTGGGCTATTTCCATATATGTTCCTTGTAACTAGCAAGAGTAAACATCTCAACGATCAACTGGCAGGAATGTAACAGGAAATAGGCAAGTGGGATAATGCCAATTTTCCCTTCAACTTTAATTGCACAGAATAATAAATTGTTTAAAACTAGCTAGAAGCACAAGTATTGACTATCTCCCTGTCTACAAGTGCCTCCAGCGCGTAGATTGGTTCAGCCGAGCCCAGCTGTTCCAGAATCGTGGAACACAGCGTTCCTTGAAGACCAGCATTGCAACAGAGTAGAGTTGGGATAGGAAAGAAGCCAGGACCTTCCCTTTTTCTCATGAGCTGTTGTACAAGTTTAAATGTTAATTAGTGTTACTGAATAAGTAAGTACTTCAATGTTAGTGGATGGGTAGGATGGTTTTGGGGGTAGGGTAGGGGAGGAGATACTTAATGGAAGGATGGATTAGCACAAGAGAGAGATGGGAGAATGTGGCCATACATCAGAACAGTCAAAGAGGTCAGGACATAATTGGGTTGGGGGAGATGTGTGGTCAGTTCCAAGAAACTATTCAAAGTACACTCTCCAGCTCATTCCCAAGGCCACCATTGCCAATGTGAACTGTATAATTTATATGAAGATTAGTCCCAGTACTTTTTTTTTTAAACAAACCATGACTCCTGCTTTTCAGTACACGCTATGATACAGTGTAGCTCTTGATAGGGGTCCTATAAACTAATCCCACCAAGGAGGTCATTTCTCTGCTAGGTCTTTGATCTACCAATATCTTTTCTCACTAATATTCTGATCTCATTTTTTACTAACAGAACTACCCTACTTCCTATCCCTTCCCACCATTTCTAAGATGTCAAATACCCTTGAATATTCAGTTCCTAGCCTTGATCAGTTTTCAACTATCTCTCTGTAATCACAATTATATTTTCCCATTTATTTCTGGTTGTCCTGACAATCATTTTGATCTTGTTTAGAATGCTAGAAGTATTCAGATAAACAACAATTTTTAACAACTTTCCCAATTCTTGCCTCATTTGGTGGTACACTGTTTCCATTTCTGTCACACTTTGCTTGTCATTATCAATATCATGATAATGCATTATTGCTTTCTTAAAATCTCCCCTATCTCTTACAGCACCAACTACCAGCCTGTCCCTATTTATTTAATATAAAGCCCTCCCTTCAGCGAGGACACTGGTCAGAGCATGGTTCAATAGAAGTGTTTGCTCTTTGCCAATACTCATGCACTGTCAATGAACTGAAACCAAGTTCTCCATATAAATATTTGAAGCGTGTATTTAACTCTCTCATCTTAATTACCCTATGCCAATTTTACTTGTGGTTCAGGTAGTATTCCAAAGATTGCTACCATTGTGGTTCAGCATTTTAATTTAGTCCCAAGCTGCTCACACTCCCTTAGCGGAACCTTGTTCTTAGTCCTAGCTGTGTCACTGGTACCCATGTAAATCAAGACAACTGGGTTCCTCCCCTTCCATTCAACGTTCCTCTCCAGTCATGAGAAGATGTTCTTAACACTAGCATCAAGCAAACAATATAGGCTCCAAGACTCATGCTTTTGCTACAGAGAAAAATTCACTAACTATACGGTCTCCCACAATGACTACATTCTATTTTCACTCCCAACTTGAATGACCTCCAGTCTATAGTGCCGTGTTCAGTTTGCTCATCCTCCCTGTTCACAGAGGATTTAAAAACTTTATCAGTTGGATAAGTACAATGGTTGAGCCTGTTCTAATGCCACCTTCTGAACTAAAACTAAAGTACTTATCCTGAAAGGTTGACTACCTCCAGGGATAATGTGTTCAGAGGACTGTTCCCTCCCTGATTCATTGCAGTGTTTGATGTTTGGACTGTAGTTCTTCAACTCTGAGCTAAAGTTTCTCAGGCTGTCGACACTTAACTGCAGCTGTACATCACTGTGGTGTCCAGCAGCTCCCACATGCTACAGCTGAAACACGTCACAGACTCTGCCATCTCAAATGTATTTTGTTTCACTGATCAGGGGTTCATTTTTGAACTATGACTTAAAGATTATTTGTAGTTATATTTAGATTAACTAGTTAAATTATAACTTTAACACAGGGTTTACTTCTTCCTAGACCTTGTGAAAGCTACTGCCCTGATTCAAAGAAACCATAAAAGTCACCAACCTATTTCCTACAGTCTTTCTTAATTAATATCCCAGTTCACAGGTTTTGCTGCCTGTTGCTCCACCTTGACCATTCCTCAATTTGTAAAAAATGTCTTCTCTGCACCAAATGTTCTCTTTCACTAAATTCCAAAATTAAACACTCTATTGAAGCTGTATTCTGTCAAGCTAGTTTCATGCTGCTTAGTTTTTTAGTGCAAGCCTTCTGGTTTTATACTTGCAAAGATTTCAAAGACATGAGGCAGCCCTTGAGGAACAAGTAAAATGCTCAACCAAATCACAAATTAACTGAGCAACTGCTGCCACCGCACAGTTTATTTACCAATTTCCAGCACCATGAAATAATCAAGTTAAGGTTAAAGTTACGTGCTAAATGTAAATTCCAACTAGATTTTAAGAGATGGACAACTCTTTAAATTTCTTGACTTACAAAACACCCAGAGAGAAGTAAATACTCTACTGGAGGGAGCAGTACTTTGTTCTACTTACTAAAGGATAAATGAAAAATTAAACAAAGGATTTCTTTACCTGTCACTTATATCATAAAGATGATTTTGTTAGGACTACAGTACAGTTAATTCTCATATTATAATGATGAGCACAAATGAAAACAGTTGCAATTGTGCCTCTTGGAAATTTTTAGACTAGAAGGACTATATGGATGAATCTTTCTGGGTGAAATCCTAGAGGTAACAAAGACATGGTTAAAGAAGTCATAGGTTTGAGTTGCAGGGAGAGGCTGGGACTTTTTTCACTGAGTGTAGGAGATTGAGAGGTGACCTTATAGAGGTTTATAAAATAATGAGGGGTGTAGATAAGGTGAATGGCAGGTGTCTTTTTCCCTAGGGTGGGGGATTTCAAGGCAGTTTTTTTTTTAAATAAGAAGTTGTGTTTTTGTTTCGGGGAGTCGTACACATGGTTGGCTGTGGAGAAGAATTATTTTTGTTCGAGGAATTTATAGCAGAGGAGTTGTTGTTTATTCAGTTAATCAACTAAGTGGTTGATTTTATTTAAGTTTGATATATATATTTTTAATTTTTTCCATTTAACATTTTTTTTGTAGGTAATGAAAGGTAGTTTATTTTGTATATGTGTAATTGAAACTTATTTTTAGGTTTAATGTTATTAAGGGCAAATAGGAGGTACAGAGTGATATGGCTAGTAGATTTAAAAAAGTTATTACACAGCAAGATCAGTCAGATAGATGGGTGACTGCCAGTAAAAATAAGAAGGTAGTTCAAAAGTCTCTGATGGTTGTTCCTCTATCAAATAGATATTCAGTTTATGGAACTATAGAAGGGGATAGTCTCTCTAATGAAAACAGAAGGGCCAGTCAGTTATTGGACACTTGGAATGATTATGTTAGGCAGCATTTTATAAGATTTAATAGAATTATTATATAGGGGACGGTCCTGTCAGGGCCATAGACAGGATTTCTGTGGCAGTGAGAGTAAATTTAGGATGGTTTGTTGCTTTCCTGGTGCTAGGATTAAGGACGTCTGTAAACATTTCAAGCCTGGTATGGCAACTGCTCTGCCCAGGACCATAGGAAACTACAGAAGGTGGTGTGCACAGCCCAGACCATCACTGAAGCCAATCTTCCATCCATGGACTCTATTTACATGGCCCCCTGCCACGGAAAGGCAGCCAATATCATCAAAGACTCATCACACCCTGGTGACGACCTCCTACAACCTCTACTGTCAGGCAGAAGATATAGAAACCTGAACACATGCACAAGCAGGCCCAGGAACAGCTTCTCTCTGGCCGTTACCAGATGGATGAATGGACTCTAGCCTCAAATAATGTAACCTGTATGACGCTAAGTCTTTTTGATCTGTACATCCTTTGCTTGCTGTGATCTGCCTGTACTGCTTGTAAACAAAGCTTTTCACTGTATTTCGGTACACATGACAATTAAATCAAAATAAAAATCAGCATGGTTTTGAGTGAGGAAAATTGTGTCTCACTAACTTAATGCAGCGTTTTGAGGAAGTTACCAAAAAGATTGATGATGGCAGAGCAGTAGACGTTGTTTATTTGGATTTTAGTAAAGCCTTTGACAAGGTTTCACCTGATAGACTAATTAGTAAAGTTAGGTCACATGGGATTCAGGGTGAGCTCGCCAATTGGATACATAAATGGTTTAACGGCAGGAGACGGAGCGTAATGGTGGAGGGTTGTTTGTCAGACTGGAGGTCTGCGACCAGCGGTGTTCCACAGGGATCAGTTCTGGGTTCTCTTTTGTTTGACCTTTATATAAAATGACTTGGATGAGAATATAGAAGACATGGTTAGTAAGTTTGTGGACGACACCAAATTTGGTGGCATTGTAGACAATGTAGAAGGTTTTCTAAGATTACTGAGGGATCTTGATCAAATGGGTCAATGGGCTAAAAAAAATGGCAGAATGAGTTCAACCTGGATAAGTGCGAGGTATTGTATTTTGGTACAACAAACAAGGGTAGGGCTTATACAATTAATGGAAGGGCCTTGGGTAGTGTTGTAGAACAGAGGGACCTAGTGGTACAGGGACATAATTCTTTGAAGTTTGTGTCACATATAGACAAGGTGGTTAAAAAGGTGTTTGGCATGCTTGCCTTCGTTGCTCAGTCCTTTGAGTATAGGAGTTGAGATGAATGGACTCTAGCCTCAAATAATGTAACCTATACGCCAGGATATTGAGGTTGCACAGGATATTGGTGAGACTACTTCTGGAATACCATGTCCAGTTCTGGTCACCCAGTTATAGGAAGGATATTATCAAGCTGGAGAGGGTTCAGAAGAG